TAGTGAATAAGTCATCGTTGAACCCCGCTCCAGGTAGGTCACACTCCTGGTTTGGCCACCTGCAGCGCTGACATCCCTTCTTCCTATTTGGCGCAGTTTAGACTCTACCTTTTAGCATATGCCCTCCTGAAATGGGCTATGGGAACTTAATTCAACCCAGTTCAGGCCAAAGGAGTTCAGAAAGAAGAGTTGTTTTGGGAGAGAGGATAAAGGTCTGAACTAGACCTGAGTAGGGAGGACTGGGCTGATCCCCCACCACAGACACAGGCATACTCAGTGCTTCCTGCCTTCTGGGATGAAAGGCTTTGCTCCTGTCACCTCCTGTGTGCACAACACTTCAGTTTACAAAGCGTATTCATTCCCATGGTCAGGTTCCTTGATGCTGCCCATGAGGCTGGGAGGGCTACTATTATTACTTCTACTGTATAGATGAAGAAACGGAGGCTCCAAGAAGGGCAGTAACTTACCTGATCAAGGTCACACAGCTGGTAAGGGGTAACTTGAAGACTGTAAGATGCACCGTGGAAAACACAGGGCTTTGGGTCATAAAACTGGGTTTGTGTTCTGGCTGCCATACTAACTAGCTGTGTGATGTAGAGTTACTTTTACTGCTCTGAATTTGTTTCCTCATCTGTAAAATAGGAATAGTACTGACAGGTTGTTATAAAGGTCAAATGACATTAATAACATGCAATCTATAAAGGCTTATACCATATGAGGGCTTTTTTTTTTAAATCTAGGGTCAAGGTCAGCAGATAAAACTCAAGACATCAGAGTCAGGTATCCAGTACTTTTGGCCCTATTCCACAGTGCCTTTGCTCTGCTTGTTTCTGGACAGTACCATACTCATCATCCTTTTCCAGTGTCAGTACCTGTTCCCTTCCCAGCCCAGAAGCTACCCTGTCCTTTCCCCTCTCCTTTGAGAGCTGATTTACTGATTGCTAGTTGATAACCACCTCCTTAGAGAGCTGTACTTCCAGTTTCTTGGGCCTTGTGACAGCCAGCCAGAGTTCCCTCCTTGTCTTCCTGCCTGGGCCAGCCCAGCGCTGGGCTTTTCAGTCAGACTGTCAATACCCACTCCCCTGCTCTGTGTGGAACTGAAGATTGCAGGCCCAGGAGTTCTGCTTTGAATGTCAGGGCTTCCCACATAATCCATTGGGCACAAGTAATGCCACCTGCCTCCAAGGAGCTTTAAGTCTTAGTTCATCTACCTAGTGCTCTTGTAACAACCATTGTAATCTCCAATTCCTGGATAGGAGAACTGAGGCCCAGCAAGCGTAAATGCCTCAAGCTTGGTTGTAGTGAGTCAGCAGAACTGGGCTTAGAACTTAGGTCTCTCAACTTCCAGTCTGAAGTCTCTATTCGACTCTCCACTGACCTAGAGGGTCCTTATGCCCTTCCCTGACCCACACTCTGAGGGTCTCTATCTGAATGTCTTGAGGTTACATGCACATACATATGCACACGCACACACACACACTCATTCATGCAAATAGGATGGAAATATTTTTTAATGTGAACCAGAGACACAACTTCATAAAGTGAAATCCTTTCTTTCCCAGCTGATTCCAAGGGAAACTGTACCCTGGGAGGGAGCTGGGACCAAGCCCTGGGTCCTTTGCATTCCCCCATACCACGAAAGTTTCTTTTCCACTTCCCAGTGGGGATTTTCTTCTCCACTTGTCATTGATTTTTGAAGCTTCTGAATCAGTGGTGAGAGCTTAGGCTGCAGGGGTAAGGGGTTCCCAGACCAGGGTGCAGCCTTGCAGTATAGCAAGTGAAATGGAGAAAATGGGCTAGTGGTGATGGTGCTTGGGTGGAGCCAGGGATGAGGAATACTCAGGGATTTGGTTGTGTTTAAAACAGGGCTCCCCCCTCTCAGGGAGCAGGCCCTGGTTGTGGGAGACAGTCAGGGAAAGGAAGTCACATATTGACCACCAAGAGTCCCCCATGGCCAAAAAGTAGCTGATGAGAGAAGGACCCTTGCCATAGCAGTGTAAATAATCGCAGGATTTCTGGAAGCTTTGCTTCAGAACTCAGAAAAGCAGTTCCTCACCCCAAGGCCCTATGACCTGCAGAGGTGACCAGATGTTGGCTGGAGCTGGGACTCCTCATACTTACCCCACTAATAAATACAGCAGCCCATTTATTGGGCACTTGCTATGTGCCATACCTCATGCTGGACACCTTCTATACATTATTAACTCTTACCTTTTTTTTTTTTTGAGACAGGGTCTTGCTCTGTCACACAGGCTGGAGTGCAGTGGTATGAACATAGCCCACTGCAGGCTTGACCACCCTGCAATCAAGTGATGCTCCCACCTCAGCCTCCCAAGTAGCTGGGACAACAGGCGTGTACCACCACACCCTGATAATTTTTTCATTTTTTGTAGAGTCACAGTTTTGCCATGTTGCCCAGGCTAGTCTCAAACTCCTGGGCTCAATTGATGTACCTGCCTCGTTCTCCCAAAGTGCTCGGATTACACTGTGCCTGGCCTCATTTCATATTCTGAGCAATTGTAGTGCAATAGGCAAGATTATCCCCATTTTACAGATGAGAAAATTGAGGCTTGGGGAACAAATATATTGCCAAGATCACATATAATTAGTTGGTGGAACTGTGATTAGAATCCCTGCCAGTCTTAATCTAGCATCTATGTTCTTAATGATGGTATTTTCTACCCAAGAGTCTGGAAGGCTCTAAAATCTTTCAGAGGTGGCTGGGCGCGGTGGCTCACGCCTGTAATCCCAGCACTTTGGGAGGCTGAGATGGGCGGATCAGGAGGTCAGGAGATCGAGACCATCCTGACTAACACGGTGAAACCCCGTCTCTACTAAAAATACAAAAAATTAGCCGGGCACGGTGGCGAGCGTCTGTAGTCCCAGCCACACCAGAGGCTGAGGCAGGAGAATGGCGTGAACCCGGGAGGCGGAGCTTGCAGTGAGTGGAGACTGCGCCACCGCACTCCAGCCTGGGCGACAGAGCGAGACGCCGTCTCTAAAAATAAAAATAAAAATAAAAAAATAAAATAAAATCTTTCAGAGGCACATGCCAGGGTCTCAGGAAATGGACAGAAGATTGAGGGGAAAGTCAAGTTTTTGTCTTACTCTTGACTTCATCCTTCCTAGTTGGGCTTGAAAGATTTGCTCCAGGCCGGGCATGGTGGCTCATGCCTGTAATCCCAGCACTTTGGGAGGCCAAGGCGGGCGGATCACAAGGTCAGGAGTTCAAGACCAACCTGACTAACATGATGAAACCCCATCTCTGCTAAAAATACAAAAATTAACCAGGCGTGGTGGCAGGTGCCTATAATCCCAGCTACTCAGGAGGGTGAGGCAGGAGAATCACTTGAACCCAGGAGGCAGAGGTTGCAGTGAGCCAAGATTGTGCCACTGCACTCCAGCCTGGGCAACAGAGCGAGACTCCGTCTCCAAAAAAAAAAAGATTTACTCCACCCCACCAAGGACCTTGAGAGAAGATACTAATGTCTGGGAGCCTCAGCCTCTACCTCATTCATCATAACATACCCAGACCCCAGTCCAAATCCCAGGTTCAACTGAATCTCCAGTAATCCCTTGCATTGAATTTGCTGTACTGAATTGGCAACCAGAGTGTGCACGGCCAGATAGGGTTTTCAGTACTTATAAGAATGATGGGGTGGCCAGGTGTGGTGGCTCACGCCTGTAATCCCACCATTTTGGGAGCCCGAGGCAGGTGGATCACCTGAAGTCAGGAGCTTGAGACCAGCATGGCTAACATGGCGAAACTCCATCTCTACTAAAAATATAAAAATTAGCCGGATGCAGTGGCGTGTGCCTGTAGTCCCGGCCACTCAGGAGGCTGAGGCAGGAGACACTTGAACCTGGGAGGTGAAGGTTGCAGTGAGCTGAGATCGCGCCACTGCACTCCAGCCTGGGCGACAGAGTGAAACTCCATCTCAAAAAAAAAAAAAAAAAAAAACAGATTTCCCCCTTGCCAGAATACCCTGGATTGGGATAGGGCAGCTCTCTGAAGAATTGAGCCCCTTACTCAGCAGGTTTCTTACTGTGCCTTTTGGTTTGTACTCAGTAGCCAAGATACTAGGTTTGGAGAGGGCAGGGTGGGCCCTGAGTTCAGAGAGGTTCTACCTATGGCTGCATCACAGAGTGACCTGGAACAGCTGTCCTGTGCCAGAACCCTTTCCAGTCTCCTGGTGGAAAGTGTCCATATTTAGTAGAGGATCTAGTGGATCCCTAAATTTGTGCACTCTCCTTTTGTGTCTGCATAGCCTGGAAAATAGCTAATACTGGCCAGGCGTGGTGACTCACACCTGTAATCCCAGCACTTTGGGAGACCAAGGCAGGCGGATCACAAGGTCAGGAGATCAAGACCATCCTGGCTAACTCGGTAAAACCCCGTCTCTACTAAAAATACAAAAAATTAGCTGGGTGTGGTGGTGGGCGCCTGTAGTCCCAGCTACTCGAGAGGCTGAGGCAGAATGGCGTGAACCCAGGTGGCGGAGGTTGCAGTGAGCAGACATCGCACCACTGCACTCCAGCCTGGGTGACAGAGCGAGACTCCGTCTAAAAAAAAAAAAAAAAAGAAAAGCTAATACTTATGGATGAGGCACTGTTTTAAATGCTTTACGTGTATTATATAATCCTTATAATGACTCAATGAGGTAGATATTATTTTATCCTCATTTTACTGGTAAGAAAACTTAGGCATAGAGAGGTTAAGCAATTTGTTCAGGGTTACACAGCTAGGAAATGCAAAACCAAGATTTGACCTTAGTTTATCTGGCGCCAGAGCTTATGTGCTTTCTACCACATTATACTGCATCTTTGCTCGGTCTCAGGGCCTTTCATTGTGTATCTTTCTGATGACTGTCTTGATGGGACTTTGGGATAGTGTCAGGTTAAGGGAACAGGAGCCGGTTTCCCTTTGTGTGCCCTTATCTTTTCTTCCCAGTAGGCAGAGGCCTCCCTAACCAAGAATGTCCCCTTTCATCCGTCCACAGGTCACTGCAGCCAGAGAGGTCCAGAAGAGAGAGGAGGCACTGCCTCCACTACAGCAACTGCACCCACGATGCAGAGCATCAAGTGCGTGGTGGTGGGTGATGGAGCTGTGGGCAAGACGTGCCTGCTTATCTGCTACACAACTAACGCTTTCCCCAAAGAGTACATCCCCACCGTGTTCGACAATTACAGCGCGCAGAGCGCAGTTGACGGGCGCACAGTGAACCTGAACCTGTGGGACACTGCGGGCCAGGAGGAGTATGACCGCCTCCGTACACTCTCCTACCCTCAGACCAACGTCTTTGTCATCTGTTTCTCCATTGCCAGTCCGCCTTCCTATGAGAACGTGCGACACAAGTGGCATCCAGAGGTGTGCCACCACTGCCCTGATGTGCCCATCCTGCTGGTGGGCACCAAGAAGGACCTGAGAGCCCAGCCTGACACTCTACGGCGCCTCAAGGAGCAGGGCCAGGCGCCCATCACACCGCAGCAGGGCCAGGCACTGGCCAAGCAGATCCACGCTGTGCGCTACCTCGAATGCTCAGCCCTGCAACAGGATGGTGTCAAGGAAGTGTTCGCCGAGGCTGTCCGGGCTGTGCTCAACCCCACTCCAATCAAGCGGGGGCGGTCCTGCGTCCTCTTGTGACCCTGGCACTCGGCTTGGAGGCTGCCCCTGCCCTCCCCCACCAGTTGTGCCTTGGTGCCTTGTCCACCCCAGCTGTGCCTTAAGGACTAATTCTGGCACCCCTTTCCAGGGGGCTCCCTGAATGCCTTTTTCTCTGAGTGCCTTTTTCTCCTTAAGGAGGCCTGCAGAGAAAGGGGCTTTGGGCTCTGCCCCGCTCTGCTTGGGAACACCGGGTATTCTCATGAGCTCATCCAAGCCAAGGTTGGACCCCTCCCCAAGAGGCCAACCCAGTGCCCCCTCCCATTTTCCGCTACTGACCAGTTCATCTAGCTTTCCACACAGTTGTTGCTGCCTATTGTGGTGCCTCCTCAGGTTAGGGGCTCTCAGCCATCTCTAACCTCTGCCCTCGCTGTTCTTGGAATTGCACCCCCAAGATGCTCTCTCCCTTCTCCAGTGAGGGAGCCACAGAATCCTGAGAAGGTGAATGTGCCCTAACCTGCTCCTCTGTGCCCAGGCCTTATGCATTTGCTGACTGACTCAGCCCCCATGCTTCTGGGGGCCTTTCCTACCCCCATCAGCATCAATAAAACCTCCTGTCTCCAGTGGCCCCGGCTCCTCCCTGTGTGCTGGGCATTAGCGGGTGGGCATGGGCTAGGGCTCCCCAGAGACTGGGAGCCTTTTGTTTCTTCTAGTAGACAATAGGCTTCATTGTGGTCCCCTCACCCCCCAATTTCCCTAACAAAGCTCTAGGCTCCCTTGGAGGGGGCAGTCTTGCTCTGGGGCCCAGTCACAGATGCTATAGTGGACTCAGACACAAAACTTGAGGAAAGACTTCCTGATCTTAGGACTCAGAAAGGGAGAGGTTGAGAGCCATTAGCCTAAAGGCAGATGCTCTCACAGTCATGCATCTGAGAGCTGTACCTCACATCACCAAGAGGACAGTGCTTTAACAGGAGTTGGAGTTTGAACCCAGGTCTCTGCCTCAACTGAAGACTTCCAGGTATCCTAGCTTGCAGTCCTAGAATCATTACAGATAGCTCAGTCACTCCTGCTCACCAAAACAGAGGCTTAGACCAGCCTTAGGAGACTCCAGACCTAAGAGGGATTGGGGGGATGCTGCTAGGAGTCATACCCTGCCATGGACTTACTCCCTCCCCACTCTTGAGCCTGTTTCTCTCCCAGTTCCTATCAAACAAGATGAGCCCCAAGACTGGCAAGCCTAAGCGACTGTTGGCCCCCCCAAAAAATTTATTTTCCTTTAAAACAAAACATACAACCAAAATTTAGGGTTTGGAGCAGTAGGGAAGACAGGAGATACCAGAGAGCCCATTTTACGGTAGAAATCTGCATCTGACCCCTCTATCCCATACCTTTGCAAAGGAGGGGAGGGGTCTATAAGCCAGAAGTTTCAGAAGAGAGAAGAAAATACATGGTGTGCTGGTGCTGTTTCTGGAGCAGGTCATCCTTTAGGTACAGAACACCACCTCCACCCAATGACATCAGAACCACTGACTGGTAGAGCCCTTGGAAATCATACAGCCCACCCATCCCCCATCAGACACATGGACACACTGAGGCTCAGATAGGGAAGGGTAGATACCATAGGGCGCACACCACATCAAAAAGGTGAAGTCAGGACTAAAACACCTGAGCAGCTTTAGCTGGGGACTGTGGCCACAGGCCTGGATGTGCACAGTAGATCATGAAATACATTAGTCCTGTGAATGACCCCGTGGAGAGAAATGGCTGTGGTTGTCAGGGAGCAGCAACTGCTCAGGGGCTCCTGACCTCAGTGAAAGATGACTATGTAAAGGCCAGAAAGTGGGTGGTGGTCATGAACCTCAGGACGTTTTTTTAGCACCAAATGGTGGAGCTCTCTGCCAGCTCAGCTTCTTGGGGCCTCTCAGGTAAAGGTGATGTTGCTTGAGGACCCCATGCCCATATGAGGGGTGGAGAGGAGAAGCCAGCAGCACTGGGGTGAGCCTTGGCCTATGCCCTTCCTTCTTACCCTTCCCCCATCTTCAGTAAGGCCAAGAGAGGATGTAGGGTGGGGAAGGCCAGAATGGTATCTTGTTTCTTGTTTCTGGGAAGTGGGCTTCCTCCTCCCAAGCAGGACTGAAGGGTTCAGAATCGCTTTTCCTCAGGCTGAGAGGTTATGAGCAGCTCCTTGTTCCCGAAGTCCCACCAGGCCGTCATGTGGAACGCCATGTTGGTTAGGACAACAGTGTACTCCAGGATGGCAAAGATGGTGTACACTGTTGTGAGGACACAAGGAACAGGGCATGATGAACTTCCTGCTACCCCCTCAGGGGCCTCTTGATAAATCACACCACCATTAGTCTGCCACAGAGAACACAATGGCAGTCAGTCCCCAAGACCACTGCCCATTATAAAAAACATCACTGCTGCCCCGTAGCCACTCATGACTGCCTGTGGATCCTATCCTGACCTCACCTCCAGCCTCACAATACATGTTGTGCCGAAAGTAGACAGCCAGCGCCGAGAAGAAGGAGACGAAGTTGATGACGAAGAGCCGCTGTTTCCAGCTGTAGGACTTCCGATCCTAGGGAATGGGCTGTCTGATCACTCTGCAGCTTGCTGGGATGAGAGCTAGGGCTCCCCTCTCAGCCCTAGCTCCTAAGGGCTGGGCCTTATCTCCCTTGGCTCCCACTAGTGGTCATGGAAGGGAGCACAGGCAAGGGCAGCAAGAATGAGGAACATGTTGACGTCCCTGCCTCTGGGGGAGTGATGGGCCAAGGAGTAGTGGTATTCCTGCCCCTTCCACTTCAGGGGGATGGAGTATGAAAGTTACATGGAGTCACCCACCAACCCCACCTCCAAATACTGTGCGGGGAAAGAAACCCATATACACATGTGGGGCGCTGAAATTATGACAGACCACAGTCCCCTGACACTGTTCCTAACTCACTGCCGCCTAGATGCAACTCCTCATTCTATCCCCATTTGCAGCCTCCATCTCTTCTTTCTCCAGTCTCCCACACTACCCAAACACAGTGCTATAGTCCTAGATTCTGACCAACCACCCTCAGTTTGTCACCAAGCCCCAGCCCCAACCCCAGCACCCCTCTGCCAGGGTTCCCATTAGAACTTAGTTCCCACCTCACCATTACCCAAATCCTGAGGACAGATGTCCTTGATTTTCTTCTGGGTTGCTTGGAGCCCCCGCTAGGGATAGACCGTACCTCCTGACTTACTGTGTGCTTCTTGGTCAACCGCCAGAGAATACAGGTGAGGAGCATATGCCCGAGGGATGAGGCGATGAACACAATGAAAGCATTTTCGTGGATGGCTAGAGGGAAAGAGGATTGGGAGCCACATTGCAGGGAGTGCCCACACCACTAAGTAGGAGGGTCCGAATGTGGTAGGGGCAGGCCCCTCCCCTCAGGGAACCCTTCCCCACTCCTCCCTCATCCGGGCACCCACTGAAGTCCTCGGAGGAGGAGACGTAAGTGAGCACTAGCAATGCAAGGTTCTCCACGACATTGAGGCCGAAGTTGAGGCGGCAGAGCGGGCGATAGCAGGAACACGGGGAGGCGCAGCTGAGGTAGTGGTTCCAGTAGGCGAAGGCCACCAAGAAGCGAGGCGCCGAGTGCAGGCCGATGCAGAAACGCCACACGTAGCGCTGGGGCACCTCCCCGCCGATGGCCGAGCTCACCGAGGGCAGGTAATTGGGCACCTAGAGAGTTGTGACCTGTCTGGGCATCTGCCTCTGCCAGCCCCGCCCATGTGGAGAACCTTCTCTCCATCTAACAAAATCACTCTGGCCTCTGCTCCAGTCCCTCCCCTTCCAGGAAGTCCTCCTTCAGATGTCCCCACACCTCTCCCAAGGGACCTCTCCTTCCAGGTCCTAGGCCCAAAGTGCTGGATTCTCATTCCCCAGCTATCCTGGGATTTGTGCAGGAGCATGGTGGGACCTTCTCCATCTCCCCTGCAGACTGGAACCTGCCTGTGTTTGGTCAGTGTGAAGATGGGTTCAGATGCCCTACACCCATAGCTCAGAGCTGTGCCTCCACTAAGACCCTGGGTGAATTCCAAGACCTCAGACTCATTCTAGAGGACAGGGATGAGTCGCAGACTATCTGAGCTTCCTTAGAAAAGTGCTGGATTCACTGCTCAGCTAAGATGTTGCTCAGTCTGCTCCCAGCGCCATTCATTCCTCTAGGCGGGTGTGCCAAGGTGGTAGAATGGCAGCCCTGCTCTGATCATGATTAAGAAAATGGGTGGGCTGGGCATGATGGCTCACACCTGTAATCCCAGCACTTTGGGAGGCCAAGATGGGTGGATCACCTGAGGTCAGGAGTTAAAGACCAGCCTGGCCAACACGGCGACACCCTATCCCTACTACAAAAAAAAAAAAGGCCGGGTGCGGTGGCTCACGAGGTCAGGAGATCGAGACCATCTTGGCTAACACGGTGAAACCCCGTCTCTACTAAAAATACAAAAAATTAGCTGGGTGTGGTGGTGGGCGCCTGTAGTCCCAGCTACTCGGAGACAGAGGCAGGAGAATGGCGTGAACCCGGGAGCCGGAGCTTGCAGTGAACCGAGATCACGCCACTGTACTCCAGCCTGGGTGAGAAAGCGAGACTCTGTCTCGAAAGGAAAGAGAGAAAGGAAGAGAGAAAGAAAGAAAAGAAAGGAAGGAAAAAAAGGAAAGGAAAGGAAAGAAAGAAAAGAAAGAAAAGAAAGGAAAGGAAAGAAAGGAAAGGAAAGAAAAGAAAGAAAGAAAAGAAAGAAAGGAAAGAAAGAAAGGAAAGAAAGAAAGAAAGAAAGAAAGAAAGAAAGAAAGAAAGAAAGAAAGAAAGAAAAGAAAGAAAGAGAAAGAAATAAGAAAGAAAAAAGAAAATGGGGGCTCCTAACCTGGGGTAGTCTAAGGAAATGACCATGTTCTCGTGCATCTCCACCATCCATCTTTCTCAATGCCTGGAACTCCTATTGAAGTCTCAGTCCTTAAAGCTGAGGAAAAAGGAGGAGATAATACACAGCTGCAGGGACTGGCATCTTCCTTGTTTGAGAGGTGAAAGGATGGAGGATGACTGAACAATGGTTTAGACAGGGACAGGAAAGCCAAAGATGGGAAGAGGCTTTCTTAGACTTCAGGGCCTAAAGCAGTGCTTCACAAACTTTAATTACCCATACACCTCACTGGGGGAATTGTTTGAAATTGCAGAAGGCTTGGAACCTGAGGATCTGCATTTTTAAATTTTTTCACTTTGTTTTCCCCCTTTTTGAGTCAGGGTCTCACTCTGTCACCCAGGCTGGAGAGCAGTAGCATGATCATGACTCACTGCAGCCTTGACCTCCTGGGCTCAGGTGTCCTCTCACTTCAGCCTCCTGAGTAGCAGGCTAATTTTTGTAGAGACAGGGTTTCGTCATGTGTCCCATGATGGTCTCAAATCCCTAGGTTTAAGCTATCCATCTGCCTTGGCCTCCCAAAGTGCTGGGACTACAGGCATGAGCCACCTCAGCTGGCCAGAATCTGTTTTTTGTTTTGTTTTGTTTTGAGACTGAGTCTCACACTGTCACCCAGGCTGCAGTGCAGTGGCGTGATCTCAGCTCACTGCAACCTCTGCCTCCAGGGTTTACG